CTTTAAATATGAATTGCTTTCCCTTTTTACACAAGTTATAAAAATAAGAGGCCCTGTTTACACATTTTGCATTTTTATGAAATTTGCAGTTTGAAAAAAAAGCTTTTTAAAAAGTGGTAATTAATGCTTTTCTTTGAATATACTGTAACCTTAGAATTTTTTTTCTGAAATATTTATGAATTTAATCCACTAAACATTTGAAGATAGAATTTTTATTTAGTACTAGAGTAAAACATACTAAAGACTGAAGAAAAGTAAGTTTGTTTCTTTTTCTTTTCTGGTTCCACTTAAGTTTCTTTATATGTGGCACCCCCTTTATGACAGCTATCAATATTATGTTTAAATTTTATATATTGACAGAATGCATCTACCTCTGTAAGCATTGTGCCATTCGACAGTACTACTATTAAATTTACATACCACAGTTTAAATTACATCATTTCAGGAATGGTAAAATGCTAAAACTGGAGTGTCTAACTGCCTTACTGGAATGAGAGTACAATTTACAAATACAATAATTACATTTTAAAACCATTAACAATATTACACCTAGAAGTAAATACTGTAGGACTGCTCATCATGGTATTGTGTGAGGGAGATCATGGCTGAAAGTCACTGACTTTCTAGCTGATATATCCCAAGTGCAGATATTGGTTTGTTTTTATGAAACCAAAATTAAAACCTGTTTGTCATACAACAGTTCTTCATTATATGAATCCTCCAAATCCTTGTATAAGATTTTATCAGTTATCTGCCAAGTATTTTCCTGCAAAATAAAACAACATATCAACAGGTTATCTGCTAGTTCAATAATGTGATCATTACATGGGTAAAATTTTGATTCCTCTTGCCTTACCCCTAGGATCCAAATACTGCATACTTTAGGGGTGCAATCCTAATATAAAATACATAGAGCTTTTTAAGTTTTCAATTTTCCAGGTCAGCTAGCTGTCTTTTCACATTTTCATGGATCAACAAATTGTAGAGGTTTGGGTTGCCCAGAATGGGTTGGGAGATTTGTTTCTGATGATAATCGAACTTATTTTAGGAAGGGTGCTAATATAATTCATTTTCCAACTTGACTCATTTTTGAGAGTGAGAGGGGTATTAATTAACAATTAACATCAGTATAGCAGTACAACAGGCATAAAACCCAGGATTTGTCCCAGAAATAACTGACAAGTATATGATTCTCTAGTATCAGAGAATCTCCCCTCACCAATTAAAAAAAAACACCCTATTGTTTGTGCCAAATAAAATGTGTCTCATGGCCACATTCAGCTCATGGGCAACCCGTTTTGATCTGTGGCCTAGATTCTTTGAGGTTCTTATTCAAGTGAAATCTCCCAGATACCAGCTAAGCCTGACAGTCTACAATCTATGAAGTCCTGTTGGAGAACAAAAAGCTTTCATGTAGGAGATAAATTCAAAGGCAAACAGCATTTATTTTGTTTATCAGTATAACAAAAGTAGGATTTACTTCATTAACCTCAGTATACACAGCTATAAAATGGGAACAACTGGTCGTCCCCACATAAGATCTAGAGCCAGGGTAAGTAGATAGAGCCTCTTGCTTTCTGATTTCTAGTTCATTCTCCTATTTTTTCCTTCATTCAACAATTGGTTTGCTTTCTAATTAAAATGAAGATTGGGAGTGGGGAAGAGGAGGAGGAAAAAGATGAGAAAATGACAATCTGTTCCTTCTTAAGGAAGAATAGCTAAGACAGTACTTTGCTAATAAAACTCAAGATACCTACTTACCTGCAGCAAACCTTTTCTTGATGAGTGAAAATCGATACCCTGCTCCAACAAGTTCAATGTCACAGCCAGAAAGGGTGCTTCCTTCACTTGTGAACTGCACAACCAATGGGGAAGGTTTGCTTGGGCCTTCTGATAACTGAAATCTTGCCAACAAAGAACCGACTCCTAAAAAAAAATATTATTATAACAGTCAACTCAACATTGCGGGGATAATTTTAGAAATTGTATTAAAAAGTTAACAAGCAAAATCATACTTACTAGGAATTAGTATATGCTTCAGTGACAAAATGGTGATGAATAAAATTTATCATTGAATATTATGAGTGACTCTATTTGTACTCTGGTAAAAGTGTAATTCAGCAAAATGGAACGTCAAATTTGGGGGCATGTTACTTGGAAGGCCATGTATTTTCCAACCTATGATTAATATCAGAGGAAAGTAAAAAATATCTACCAGGGAGTGTGGGATTTGATTCAGGATGGAAACATGCTTCTTTAAAAGCTCATCTCTGCATCAAGATGGTCTGTTTGATGTGGGGTTTTGGTAGAAAAGGGAAAGAAGAGGATTCATTGAAGAATCATTTGCCTTTATTGATTGAAATAAGTAAATGCAGAAATGATGTGAAATATTTTGCTTGTTTTTTGTGCCACATGTATTTTGGGTAATAGTTGGCTAATACTAAAAGCTATTTCAGCTTTAGGTAAATATTAAGTAAAACAAGCCTGGGATTACATTACCTCCATTTTCTGACTTCTGAGAAATATCGGGAATCTTCCACAATATTCTTTGTTGTTCAGCATTCCTAAAAATAAAATAGGTAAAAAGCTTTTGCATATATGCAAGGGTTTTTGTTGAATGGATACCATGTTTTTTCCAGATAATATTAATTTTTAAAAATGATCTTAAAAAGTTTAGCTACAATTTAAAAATTCTCTCTCTCTCTTCCCATGCACACATAAATTCTATCTTTTCCCTTTCTTTATTATAACTAGCTTGAACACTGTGAGATAAACAGTGTTTAAAAAAATTTTTTTTTAACACATCTGCTGAAACAATAGATGGCAAATGTTAGTTAATCAATTAATTCAGGTAATTTAAGTTGGGACTGTCATCGGGCTGACATTCATTTTTTAAAAAATATTCTACTTTTTGCTTCTTACAGTCATAAGGAAAAGCTGGAGCATTCTTTCCAGAACAAGTCCTTTATAACAGATGCCACCGGTACTTAGTATCTATTAAGTTTCTAGTCCCATACATTCTCTGGTGTGCTAGAAAATGAAACACTACCTTTCCCAGACTCCCTTGTAGTTATGGTCCTAGATGCAAGTTAGGTTCCACCAATCACATGCATGGGTTGAAATTTAAAAGTCGGAATGGAGGCAGAAGCCATGCTCCCACTTTCCTGGCTGTTTTCCTCTGACCAGCAACTTAACTCAGATGTGGGGAATCTTCTAACAACAGCAGGCCAGTCCACCCTCCAGTTTTATGGGTTCTAAGAAGCAGTTAAGGAGGTGCCAGCAGGAGCTTACTGGCCCTTGGATCAGAGTCACAGCTGTGGTTTCTTGAATTCAGTAATTCCACTGGCAGCCTTCTAATTTCTCTCCTTTCCCGGGGCTGCGGCAAGCTGGTTCTGCACAGTTCTGGAGATCCAGCCTATTTTCTGTTCCTCTAGCACTTCCACCATTGTGCAAGCATTGAAATCCCTGTTAAATTATTTTTTGCTTAAAATAGCCACAGCAGTTTCTGTTTCCTATCCTGACCCCTAATATATAGGCCTGCTGTGATCTCCTCCTAAGGGAAACACAAGTGCTGAGAAGTCTGGGACCCCTGGCACCAGAAGAAGCGCTTTGGTAAAGAGAAAGGCGGCTGAGGGCTCCTTACCAGACGGCTGGTGGGAGCACAGCCTGGAGCTTGGTTACTCCTCCGTCGATGGGGACCAGGAATTGCACATTGTTGAGGGCCACAGCGGTGGTCATTGCATCCGTGTTGTATTTGTAATCGATGCGCAGGTCAGTGCTTGCAGGCTCACATCGCCAATTCACCGCCAGGTTCAGAGGCGTGGACTGAATGCCCTGGGCAGACACCTTGCCAAACGACAGGAAAGAGAATATTTAAGGCTAACTACTGTCTGAAACAAAACTAGAAGTTATATTATCTGCCGCAGGAATGTTGTTGGAGATCATAATGTCCTAATGTTTGTGCTGCTCACAAGAGAGCCGTTAGTGAAAAACACCGTGAAGGGTGTTGTGGGAGAGAGCTGGGTGCTTTGGGTGACTTACAGATTAAAAACATAAAATCAACTACTAAAACCTCTACAGCACTTTAGAGCTTAGAATGCACTTACAGGCAGGACAGCTCACTGTTTAGGAGTTGAGGCCATGAAGCTAGACAGTCCTGGGTGTGCGTTCTGATTCTGCCACCTAAAAGCTGAGTTACCAAACCTCTCTGAGCCCCAGTTATTCCCTCATCTGCCAAATGGGGATTATAACAATACTATTTACCCATAGGTTTGTCAGGAAGATTGAAGGAGATGTTTTATGTGAAACACTCAACTCAGTGCCTAGCACATAGTAAGGAATTAACATTTTACTAAATGTTATCTATTAGTATTCTTACTGTATTTGCTTTTCAGAACAAACCAGGGAGTTAGACAAGGCTGATTATTATTACTTCTTTGAAACTTACCAAAGTAAGGACTAGAACACAGGTCCTCCAAGTGGAAGTGCTACATTCTACTGTCAATTCTACTTAGAATCAACTGAGAATTTGACCAAGAAAAAGCTAGGTTTGAAGAATCAACAAAAATTTCTCTTATCTAAAGACAATATATTGACCTGAATTCTGGGTCCACAGTGAAAAATTCCCAGTGTTATTATTTCTTGATGGTTCATTGTGATGGTGAACAGATCTCTAGGGGAGTCTCCTTTTATAAGCTCATGCGCATTGCAGGGACCATGTGGGTGGCGTCTATGCCCTTGAATTTTCATTCATGGAGTATGAGTTTTGCTGATTTTGAAGCGTATAAACAGCTCTCTAGGAAATGCCTGCACATATGGTCACCAAGACGGGGCCTTAAGGCAGGCTGAATTCACAAGGCAGGAGCAGTTGCTGCAGAAACTAGCCCAGAAATGGGTTCTTTTATAAAATGACAGATTTGGCTTTTGATGACAATTTTAGCTAGTTAAATATTGTTAGCAGAATAATCCTTTCTGAAAACGAACTTCTATTTAGAAATGTACTACCTAAAGTAGATCAACAACGGAGTAGGGCCCCCTCCCCACACCCCTTTACTGCACTCTCTCCTCAGCTGTAGTTTTTAACTTAATAATAGTTCCCCTACTTGGGGAGGTGCTTTCTGGATATGTGAAGGTGTGTTTTTGATTGTCCCAATTTCTGAAGAATGCTATTGGTGGCCAGAAACTAAATATGCTGCGATTTGAGGGCAATTCCACAAAATGCTAGTTGCGCGCACCGCCCCCCCATTCCTTGCATTGTTGCAAAACAACAAAAACACAGCTAAGCAACAACAAAAGGGATTCCTCAGAGCACACTTTAAAACAAAATGACAGGTCGAGGGCTATTGACATTTCACAAAGTACTCTGAAATATATTAGGCTATTAGCTCCTTACAACATCCTGTAAAACATCTAGGTAGGTATCATTATTACCCTATTTGCAGATGAGGAAACTGTGGTTCCAGGAGATTAAGTGCCCAAGGTCAGTGACAAGCAGAAAGCCCACTTCATTCCAAAATTCAATCTCTTGCCTATACTTTAATACTTTACCCAAAGTTCATATTGCAATAGGTGAATTCTATTTTGTAGATTCACTTAATAACAAATATGGAGACTAAAAAAAATGGATTTTTGACGTTTTAAAAAACTTTTTCTTTTTTTTTTTGAAGTGAAGATGTAGATGCAGTGTTTGTAAATAGAGTTCATGAAGGAAAACAACAACAATTTTATTTTCACACTTTGGGCGTGAGAACCATGCCCGTGCTCTGAAATTTAATTTCTCATTCAGGGAAAAATGAGATTTAGTGTTTCCCTTTCTCACTCCTTTTCATTTCCCTCACAGCTTAAAACAGACACTAAGTGTGTTTAAATATTTTGGGAAAAAAGGTAAATATCATGTATTTTCTATTATATTTTAACTATAAAAGCAATGAATTTATGCCATATCATATGTTTGTTAATATTATCTATAATGATCCTGTTCTCACAGGAAAAACATTATATTCATTTGTGCTTTTGTAAAATGTATCATCATATAGATACTCCACTTTCAATGATTTCCTTACAAAAATTTAAATGGTTTTCAAATCATAGGGTGCCTTAGAATCACTTGGGGAACTTATAAAAAATACAGATACCTGTTGAATCTTGAGCCAAGTAAATAAAAATCTCTGGAGTGTCAGGGCCCAGCAGATTATGTATGTATATTTAAATACATATATTCTTTTTAGCACCAATTCAGAACTGGCATTTGTTTATAAGTTCCCTGGTGATTGAAAAGTGCAGTTATGTTTGAGATGCACTGATTTTTATTAAAGTACAACTTTCCTCATCTTAAAAAAATAATCTGAACATATTGAACCACAAAAATTATTATGAATACATTAAAAATATTAAGTGACATAAGGCAGGCAGAGAAAGACATTTTGCATGATTTCACTCTTAAATGGATCGAAAAAAGTTGCTTTCATAGAAGTAGAGAGTAGAATGGTGGTTACCAGGGGGTGGGGTTGTTGGGGTGGGGTGAGGGGCTCCTGGGGAGATGTTGATCAAAAGACACAAAATTTCAGCTGGACAGGAGGAGTAAGTTCAAGAGATCTATTGCACAATACGGTGACTATAGTTAATAACAATGTATTCTTGAAAAATGCTAAGAAAGCGGATGTGAAGTAGTCTCACCACAAAATGGTAACTATGTGAGTTAATGCATGTGTTAATTAAATTTACGCATTCCAAGATGTATTTATACTTCAAAATATCATGTTGTACATGATAAATACATACAATTTTATCTGTCAATTAAAAAAATCTAAGAAACCAAGTGCTGGGAATCAATGGGAGATTCAGGCACTATAGAATTCTGACTTGAACAGGCTTATTTACTGGATCAGTAATAATCTGGAGTAAGGGCAATCCTATACACAGAAAGAAAGCTCTCATGTTTTATATTGTGTTGTATCAAACATTCTTTTACTACTGAGTTATTTTTTAATGTTTTATTAGAACTGTTTCATAGGACTATTTTACTAGAAAAAAGATTGCTTATATTTAATCATTTTAAATAAGAGTGTTTAGTACAATAATGCTCATTAACAAAATTGTAGTCATCTAGTTCATCAATATTTATAATCTTAATTGACGTAATGTTTGGTGACTTCATTTTTGTGGCATGTTTCTTTAATTTTTAATACAATATTTTCTTATAAGTTTAAACTCATAAGGATATGTATGAATATTGTCATTAGTCCCCAAGTAGTCTTTTAAGGTTTCCATTTTCTTATAAATTATAGCTTTTAAACAATATTGAAAGAAATATCACTTTATTTACTTTTATTTAATATCAGGTACTTTAGAAAATAAATTTGTAATGTGTAGGAGACATTCTGACCATATAAACAGGCTTACCTGATATTTGAGCATGTCCACATTATAATATGTAGCCTGGGGCTTTTGTTCAGACACTTTCTTTAGGTGAGTCATCAAATTTGGCATGTTTACCCAGAATTCCTTGGTATTGGCATCATTTTGTGTATTATCACTATTCAATTGGGAAGAAAAAATGATTAAGTAGCATTTTGTAACATATATAAGCCATACAAGAAGCATCTTAGCAAATTTTCATCTGATTTCTACATCTATCTTCGACAATCTGTAGAGATTATGAGGAATCTATTAGCAGTAGTGTAGTCTTAGCACAAATACAGTTCTGAATGGTATTATGTTAATAGATTAAGATCCATAGGGAGGAGCTACTGTATTGTTATAAATCTCAGTGAGTACCCAGTAATGATGATAATTGGCAGCTTTAAAGAGTGAATTATTTATTAACCCAAACGTAATAGTCCTTTCTACAGCACCACAGTTTTCATCTAAATTAGCCAGTTAGTGCAATCAAGGAGCTGAATACATTGGTTTTCTTTTGAATTGACTTGACCAGTAGTTTCTTAGAAATTATCCAATTCAGTATTTAGCCAAATGTAAACATGGTCTTTATCACTAAGGAAAAAAGAGCGATACTAAAATTACCATGCTACCTTTTTAGCATTCACAATATTTCATTCAAGAGCATCTAAATCATAAGAAATGTCACTTCACTTGCAAGATGATCCCGGAGTTTAAATGATAGTAATCATGGTAGTTACAATAGAGAAGAACAGTGCAATCTTGACAAACTAAAGAGTTTTCTATCCCTACAAGAGTCATTAGTTTGCTCAGAGGCAGGTCCACAGTACGCTTTTCCAATTTCTCTTTCAAATGCTTGTCTCAATAATAAAAAGAATCAGCCAAGAGTATACAAAGCATCTGCTCACTTCCCATATAGTGAATCCTCAAGTGATTCAGTAACTTGACACACAACTCCCTTACTGACCCTTCACTTTCAGAATATCCTTTATAATATAATAGTAGTAGTTACAATTTCTTGAGCACCTATTATGTGCTAGGCATTATGAACTATTTCATTAAAATCTACCCTGCAGAGTAAGAATTATTATTCTTGTTTTTCGAGATGGGCAAACTTATAAAAAGAGAATTAGAGATGGCGAAGAGAGAGGCTGATAGTGAAAAATGAGAAAGGCAGGTCAAAAGTAAGTTGCTATGATTCAGACTCCGTAAGTCACACAAATCTAGAAAACTGAGTCAAAAACCATCAGGGCCTTAAAACTGCCATTTTGGTCTGTCAGGCAGGAGTGGTCCAGTCTCAGTGTGACTGGTGTATTTCTGCTGTGTCCTGATAGAGGGTTACTGAGGACAAAGCAAAGCTCTTTGACTATGCAATAGGGGAAAGGGATGAAAAAGACTCCTGGCCCTTGAGACTTTGCCCCTGGTCAAGCTGAGCTAAGGACGCTGATAAGGGCTGTCCAAGCTGTTTTTTATTTACAAGCATCTAAATTACTTCAAGCTGCCAGAGCTGTTGCTATGCAAGGAGGCAAGAGATAAGGTAATAGAGGGTCAGTGAAATTAAGTCATTTGCTTAAGATCACACAGCTAATAAGTAACAGAGTCCAGATTCCAGCCCAGGTCAGTTGTATAGGTCACACCTTCCCGATATGCCAAAACAGAGGTTAGGAATTAATATGTAGCAACATGTCGTTAATTTATACTAAGTAGATCTGAATAATAGAAAAAATCTCAGTTATACTACTTTTAAAGAAATGCATTTGCTGAATTTGATAGCAAAATAAGCTAAGTCATATGTCTGTGCTAATTTCTCAGAGAACCTGCTTTAATAAATCTTTGCCAATCAAATGCTTACACAGAGACGGCATTCTTAAATGCTCAAGATGTCTTAAGGATTCTTGAGTCTCATACTTGAGTTAACAATTGTTCCTAAATATCTTTTACAAGCAAACCCCTTTCATAAGGGGAAAGTAGATGTAAATTTCAATTTGGCCCCTGTCACAGGGATTGCAAACCGAATGTCTCCGGTGGCCATGGTGCTAACCTAAATGAAGTCTTCAGTAAACATAAAGGAGAATATGGGCTGAGTATAAGATGATGAGATGCTGAAGCAATCAAAAATGATGTTTAGTCATGCTTGGTCAACACTGCCTTTTAAAAGCTCAGGGTTGTGGTGGCGGCGGCAGAGTAGCACTGCCTACCAAAACCAAATAGGCTATACATGACTAATGGGTCACCCATCACAGCCCTGTTACAATTATCAAATATTTAGAGTTAATAAGGTCCAAATTCATGAGGAATTTTTTGTTTTTTGAAAATAATAATTTAAGGGTTCATATACTATTTCGTTAAGCAAAAACATTTTGAGTGATATTGAATTCAATTCATAAGACTGATATGTTGATATATGTATATAACTTTTGCACATATGCCTAAGAACTTGGCAATATAACTGCCTAAAAATGCAACAAAAGCTGTAACTATCACATCGATCATATTCACAAACAAACTGGTGAAACACTGGCACATAACTCCTAATTTCATATGCAGGAACCTCGAAAAATAAAATTAATGGGCTCGATGTGCGTATTGAAAACATGGAGGGAAACTGAAGTAAGAATTTGCTGAACTCCAATCTCAATCATTCTACACTTATTTTTCACCTTAATGGGTGATCATTTCTTTTATGCTTTTAAACCTGGAGTCAAGTTTGCCACTTAAGCCATAGCAAGGACCAAGAGGAGGAAATGAACTTGGTAATCACCTGAAATACCTGTGACTATTTTACCACCACTGAAATTAAAAAGTCTCATTCAGTCAAGAGAGTGATTGACTAAATTGGTACTCAAACTGCAAATTCCAACAACTTTTAGTTATTTCTATATACACGTCTGGCTTGACTAAATTCTTTACGTTATGACTGAGTTGTTCATTCATGCGACAAATATTATTCAAGTCCTTATTAGACGCCAGTCACGGTGGAAGGTTCTGGGGTTATAGTGGTGAACTAAGGAATGCGTTCCATTCCCTCATGGTTTGTACAGTCTTGTGGGGGAAGTGGATAAATGAAGAAACACAAATAGATACATGATTACTGATTGCAGTAAGGGCTACGAAGGAAAAGAATAGGGTACTTTGAGAGAGAATAACAAGGGGACGTGATTTAGTCGGGGGCTGGTGGGTGGGGGTGGGGAGGAGATGGGATAGTGAGGGAAGGCGGAGTGGAGCTGAGTCCTGAAGGATGAGGAGGGAGAGTGGGAGGAAGAAGGGTGGAGACAGTATTGGAGGCAGAGGAAACAAGCATTACAAAGCCCTGCTGTGGGAGGGGACTCCGACTGTTTCCGAGATTGGCAGGTCGCGCAGGAGGGGTGGGGATTCTGAGGACTGTGAGAGAGAACAGAGAGGCAGGCAAGGGTGACGGACAACTCAGAGCCTCAATGACAATGGTAACAAGCTTAGTTTCTGGCCAGGTGGGTTACGAGTGAAGATGACCTGATTTACCTCATAAAAACCCGTCTGGCTGTTAGAATGCATTGGAGAGAGGCAGGATTGGATTCAGAGAGGGAAGGAGGGAAGCAGTTGCAGTGTCCAGGGAAATGACAGTGGGCACCTGGACAAGGGAGGAAAGGAAAAAGGAAGGCCTCTGCAGAGAGAGTTTTTAGGTGGAGTATCAGGACTTGATGGTGGAGAAGCAGCAGTGAAAATGACTCCTGCCCCATCCATTGCAAATAATGAACTTGATATAATCGATCATTTTAAGTGCATGCATGTATGTATGTGTGACTGTGATGTGCATATGCATAATAAAGACATCATATTTGGGTTAAATAGTTAGAAAATGTGAAAAAGTATATTTATATACATAAATTTGCATGAGCTTCTTTGATATCATACATGTAAAGTTCCATCAAAACAATTACTATTACAATGAAATTATGTTTCAAAAAAAATTTTTCAAGCTCATGTGGAGAGTAGCTCACAGTTCAAATATCATTTGATTTAAAAAGAAGCTAATACAACAAAAGGATTTTATTCCTGTTATTGGGTTCATTCCCCACCATTCTTATCCATTATTTACTGGTAATAAGTAAAACACAATGAATAAATTGTCATGAATGCAGATTTTATCACTCTGCATGTCTCTTTAACCACTTGAGATATTTGGCCATTAAAATACATATGTGCATATGGAGTTACATATATATACACAATCACCCACAGAAAACTTTGACAGCTGGTAAAAGTTTTTTTTTTTTTTTTTTGAGACAGAGTCTGGCTCTGTTGCCCTGGCTAGAGTGCTGTGGCATCAGCCTAGCTCACAGCAACCTCAAACTCCTGGGCTCAAGCGATCCTCCTGCCTCAGCCTCCCAAGTAGCTGGGACTACAGGCATGCACCACCACGCCCGGCTAATTTTTTCTATATATATATTTTTAGTTGTCCAGATCATTTCTTTCTATTTTTAGTAGAGAAGAGGTCTCCATCTTGCTCGGGCTGGTCTCAAACTCCTGACCTTGAGCGATCCACCCGCCTCGGCCTCCCAGAGTGCCAGGATTACAGGCGTGAGCCACCGTGCCTGGCAGCTGGTAAAAGTTTTGTGTCTGAATCTACAAGCCTTTCTGAATGGCAGTAATTTCACTATAGTGCGACTCTCTTGCTAAAGTACATTGCTCATCTAAGTACAAAATGCTAAGCTACATACATCTCTAAAAAATTTATGCAAAATCATATTTACCAGCAGAGAAGTTGGGGATTTGGCAGGACGTGTTCTAACCTGCTGAAATTTATCACCCGAAAAGTCAGAGCAGCTGGGGATGGATTGTTGGCAAAGTGTCTGGTGATGCCGGCAGGAAAGGACAGTACCATTTCTCCAGTAATCTTAACAATACACCTGGCATATCAAAACACACGACAGGAAAGAGAGAGGAAACCCAGGTCAATACAGTTTGAATCAAAACAGCTGTGAAAAAAAAATTCTGCAACAATGTTAAACAGCAGAAGAGATGAAAGGCAGGCTCTTACAATTGTACTCTCAACTATGAAATCATTTCCAATCTATCTGCAGGAGGTGCCAACTCAATGGTTAATACATCAAAAAAGTGGCTGTTTTGTTAAAAGTGCTTTGAGCTGAAAGAAAAAAGTGCAGCTTTTCTTTTTCTGTAGAAAAGTCTACAGGTTCACCTTATGAGTAGAATCATGTGCTGTGATGGTTCTCTCTCACTGTGATTTCTGAATTTTTCGCAGTACATTTGAAGATATTAAATTTGCACAATGTTATCACACGGTTTACTGGGACTTATTTTGGTTATTAGAGTAATATGAATAACACCTTGAACATTTTCTTGTATGTACTCACGAGGTAAAGTTCTTGCTTTCTACTTAACTAGCTCTTCATTCCATTAACTTATCTATTTGATCAAAATTGTAAAATCAGTCATATAAGTTAACACAGTGGGATGATAGTTTGAAAGGAAGAATAATCCTTTTTTTAATGGGGCTTTATCACGATATAATTGACATATAATAAAATGCACTTATTTACAGTGTAAAATTCCATAAGATTGTATGATGTGAAACTCTCATACAATCAAAATAATAAGCATTTCCATTATCCCTGAAAGTTTTCTCATGCCTTTCTGTAATCTCTCTCCTGCCCTACCTTTCCCCATCCCCAGGCAATCACTAATAGGCTTTCTGTCACTATATGTTAGTTTGCACTTGGTAGAATTTTATACAACAGAATCATAAGATATGTGCTTTGTGGGTGGAGTGGTCAGGCTTTTCTCACTCAGCATAATTATTTTGAGATTCATCCACGTAGCTGTGTTTATTAATAGTTCATTTCTTTTTGTTGCTGTGTAATGTGTTAATATACCACAGTTTTTAAAAATCCATTCACCTACTTAAGAACATTTGGATTCTTTCCAGTTTTTTGCCTATTACAAATAAAGATGAGGTGAATATATGTGTACAGGTCTTTGTACAGACATAGGCTCTCATTTTTCTTGGTGAGTATGGAGGAGTGGAATCATTGAATTGCTCAGCTGGCAGGGGTACCTTTTTACCTTTTAAAGAAACTTGTTTTCTAAAGTGGAAAATACAGCTGTGTATGAGGTTCAGTTCTTGCACAATCTCACCAACACTTGATAGTATATATATATTTTTTTAATTTTAGCTATTGTAATAGGTGAGTATTGGACAATCTTATTGTTTTAATTTGCATTTCCATAATGGCTAATGATCTTAAGCATCTTTTCATGTGCTGATTTGTCATCGGTTAACTATGTAGGTAAAGTGTCTGCTCAAATTCTCTGCCAAGTTTTTAAATAGAGTTTTTGTTTTCTTATTGAACTTTTAACTTTTCATATATTCTGTATATAATTTATCAGATATATGATTTGCATCCCAGTCTGTAGCTTGTTTTATTTTTTTCCTCTCTCTTAAGAGCACCTTTGAAGAGCAGAAGTTTTTAATTCATCAATTTATTCTTCTATGGGTTTTTCTGGGCAATAATAATTTAATTATTCTTTTGGGGTCCTAAGAAATCTTTGCCAAATCCAAGATCACAAAAGTTTCACCTATATTTTCTTCTAGAGCTTTTTTTTATTTTTAGTTTTACATTTAGCTTTATCACCAATTTTTAGTTAGTTTTTGAATATAGCATAAAGTGTGGATCTAAGTTCATTTTTTGTGTCTGTGGATATGGACAACCAATTGTTTTAGCACCATTTGTTGAGAAAACACTACTCTTTCTCCACCAAATTACCTTGGTAATTTTGTTGAAATTTAGTTGTCCATATATGTGCGAGTCTATTTCTGTATTCACTGTTCTGTTCCATTGATCTATTTTGTCTATCTTTAAACCAATACCAAACTGTTGATTACTATAGCTTTATAATAGTTCTGAAATCAAATAATGTTAGTTCTCCAACTCTGAGGACTTTGTTCTTTTTCAAAGTTCTTTTGGCTATCATAGGTCCTTTGTATTTTCATATGAAATTTAAAATCGCCGTGTCAATTTCTACATAAAATCAATTTATTGCCTCTAAGCTCCAGTTCAACCTTTACAGCCTGCTCTGAGAAAATTAACAGGTCCTTTATGCATATTTTTTCTTTGCCAACAGGCACATGTTTAATTCTGTCAATAGAGGGTGCTCGAGAGACATTGCAGGAGGACGGGGTTTTCCTTTTCCATTCCAGCACGCTTGCAGTGCAGGCTTCTGCAGCGCACAGGGTTTATCTAGTGCCAGGCTTCTGCAGCGCAGGAGGCTTGTGTGTAGCTCCTGCAGTGTGTGTGGCATCCCAAGAGTTAGAGTTTTGCAACCCAAATGACTTTGCCGGTATCCGGTAGCACAGGCAGCTTTCCTATCATTTGGCGCATGCGGTAGAAATGGCTGGGCTGCCCCAGTGCCTAGATCCTACAATGCAGACTGGGCTCTCTGGCTCCAGGCTCCTGCCGTGGTTGCATCTTCTCTACCTCCGGCTTCTGCGGTGCATGGTGGCCAGCAGTACCTCCTGCCCCAGGCTTTAGCTTCCTCTGGCACCTCCCTCAGCCAGTTTTGTAGTGGAGCGCCTCAGTGAGACACCTCCCCAAGAACAGATGGAAGTCTGCTGGGCTCTCCCTATGCCATGCCCAGAAACTCTCAAGGAAGTAAGCTGGAGCAATATGGCACACCTCACCTCTCGGGGATCACTGTCCTTCACCTGAGGTCCAGTGTCTTGCAAATCATTGTTTCATATATTTTGTCCATTTTTGAGCTGTTTGAGGTGTGGGAGGGGAGGGGGTAAATTGGTCTGTTACTCTACCTTGTCCAGAAGCAGAAATTTCCCAAGACTTATTCTTCTTTGAGAAATAGTAGATACTTAAAATGAGTGAGATTTTCTGAGTTCCCTATACATCTGGATAACTGACTCTTGTACTACTTCTTCAGTTCTAAGTTAAGGAATGAACTTTCCAGGGAAACTGAGGTTGTTAATGAATGAAAACTTTGCTCATATGTGAGCATGGGGACTCTATTTTGTCCCATAGGCACCTTGTGTATGGTATAAATCTGTGACTGATGAGACACCCCTGGTTCAGGTGAGGTGGTCTCTGGTTCACATTCAAAATAGCTTACGTGAGGAGCTGCTATAGCCTTGTATGTATGTATAAGGCTGGGTTTTGGGCAGAGTTGGGGGGCAGATGAGTCTCTAAAAGTTGCCATGTGTCCCTCCCTGACTCAGATGTTAAATTGATAACTTTGTGCTGCTCTGAATGAGAATTTTGGTTTCTGGAAGTTTGCACCGCCATCTCTTCTGGATAGTATTGCTGATTTCCTGGTTTGGGTGTACACTGCTATCTTTCTCCTCTACCTTTTAGATTCATTAACCTTGTTTGTTTATGGGTGCTGAATTGGTTCTGAGCCTCAACTTCCCCTCCAGCTGAGTCTGCTTTTGATGTTAGTCAATATGTTGACATGCAGGATATTATTTAGCAGCTCTAGAAGAACACAGCAATTAGTCAGAGCACTTGTAAAATGAGATTGCAGCACCTACCATCACTCTGTATACTGTGGTTAGCAGGGGTGACTCAGATGTTTTTTAACTGGTAGGGAATCTTCTCAGTTTCCTTTCCAGATTGCTCAAAATGAGATCTAATTGGTATCTTGGTAGGGGACAAAGTTCCTTTTTTGAAAGCAAGTCAGGAGAGGAGGTGACATTTATTAAGTCAACAAACATTTATTCACTCCTAACTGTGCAATATGTTATTTATTTTGTTTAGTTTTTTGAGCAGGGAGGCAGTTGAAAAATGAGCAAACAGACCCTGCCTCCAAAGGGCTTGCAGTGTTGGGTAGAAGATGAGAGAAGCAGCCCATATAGTCCAATATAAGAAACACTGAGGCTTCATAATTGTATTTCTGCATCTCGACTGTCAGAGTCAGACCTTTGCTGATTTATTAATATTAATCCATATGGTGTCTAAGTTGACCTGAAATTTTATATATAAATTTAATATTTTCTATACTCAGGGAAAATCTTTTTTTGATCTTAATGATTGTTCCTATCAGTATGCAAGTTGGCTATATTTCCCATGAGTTTGAATTATGAAAATTAAAAATAATGTGATATGGAAATATGAATAAATGCTTACTTTATGAATAAAATTTGAAATCATGTGAATCCCCACAAGTGAAATATTTGTCAAGAACAGAAAAATTTCCACTCTGGGAGGCCGGAGTGGGAGGACCGCTTGAGGTCAGGAGTTCAAGACCAGCCTGAACAAGAATGAGACTCTGTCTCTACTAAAAATAGAAGAAATTAGCTAGGCATGGTGGCTCATGTCTATAGTCCCAGCTACTCAGGAGGCTGAGGCAGAAGGATCGCTTGAGCCCAGGAGTTTGAGGTTGCTGTGAGCCAGGCTAACACCACGGCACTCTAGTTCGGGAAACAGAGTGGGATTCTGTCTCAAAAAACAAAACAAAACAAAAAAAAAACCCAAGAAAAACAACAGAAAAATTTCAAAGCTGTCTAGCCAAGTGACGTATAAACTGGGTTTTCCCTATTGCCATAGGCAGCACCACATTATCTGGTCTACAGGAGCACTGGCCAATTTTGTTCAAGGAATATTGAATTTGAATTATATGAGGTCATCAGAAATGCATCCTTCCCATAAAATGTGACTTCTGTGTACTGCTTTGATAACTAAGCCCACAGCCCTCTTTTCAAGCATAACCTCTGTGTATATATATACCACTTCTCTTGTTTATAATCCTCTTTCACTGGCTTATGTACCAGCCAAAATCCTTTTCCTAGTTCAAAGGAAAGCCTTTCTGAAGCTTTCCTTAATATCTTCTCTATCCAGCCTTTCTTAGTTTTTCCTTTCTCTGGGTTGTCCTGGACACATGTACAGATCTTTTTTTAGAGAATTATGTTCTAGTTTTTTGTACATCTTATCTACTGCTGTGAAGGCAAGTACTGTGTCTTAGGTTCTGGGAAAGAAAGGTGCCTAAGACAGAACTCAGAACAGAGTAGGAACTCAGTCAAATGTTTAAATCCACACATTTAACAACTATATAGAGGGTGCCTATACAATATACCAGGCACTATCTAATGTGCTAAAATGGCTTGTGACAAATAGGATAAACATGGTTCTTTTGCACATTTCTAGTTTAAACTGGGAGACAGATACTGAATAAATAAATAAAATACGATGAGAAGAGAAGGATAGGATATAGCTGAGAAACCTAAATTTTTCTAGGGGATAAGAGAATTAATCCTTGACCTTTATATTTTAGCATCAAGGTTGTTTAAATAGGAACTGATAACAGGAGATATGTTTCCCCAGCCAGTATCAAAGGTCAAAGAATTCTCTGCCCGTGCCCGTGAGCTATGGAGAAAGACTCAGATGTCAGAATACCTGTTGCAGGTGGTCTGAATATTCAGAGAAAGACGTATCTGTATTTGAATGGATTATGTATCACAGTATATAGCAATTAAGGTGGTAGATTTCTGTTTCCAGTGTATGGTCTGAAAACAAATGGCTTTGATACAGGTGAGAGGGAACCATAGGCAAAAGCAAATCCAAATGCTTTTTCTGCATCAGTTCTCTATTTGATGCTGTGGTTGGCTTTATTTCCACCTGGCGACAGACCTTGAGTTGTTTCCTTGAAAGTGAATAACAAAGGAAGAGCAATTAAAATGATTCACTGCCTCGAGATGAAATGAAATATAGAAGAGTGTCACTTTATGATCTCTTCATAAATTTTAGATTTCAGAATTTCAATGAAATATGTTGGATCTCCCATCGAACAGCATAGAGGATATACTACAACTAGTTATGACAATGTAATTGAAAACAGATTCCAAGCTGGCTTGGTGGCTCATGCCTATAATGCTAGCACTTTGGGAGCTGAGGTGGAAGGACTGCTTGAGGCCAAGGGTTCAAAACCACCCTGGGCAACATGGGGACCCTATCTCTACAAAACATAAAATAAAAAAATTAGTTGGGTGGGATGGTGTGTGCCTGTAGTCCTAGCTACTCAGGAGCTGAGGTGGGAGGATCGCTTGAGCTCAAGAGTTTGAGGTTACAGTGAGCTATGATCATACCATCACTGCACTCCAGCCTGGTGACAGAGCAAAACTGTCTTAAAAAAAAGAAACAGAAAGAAAGAACGGACACTAGGCTCACAGTGCAGACCTCCCCACGCACCTGTCATAGTGCGCTGGGAAACTGAACCAGGATGAAAACCCTGGTTTGTATTGTGACAGGCCCTTCTGGGACTGATAGGCTGCTATATCACTTCTTGGGATTAAAAAAATTATTAAGACTCCCATTGCACCATCTCTACACTTCTAGGGTAGACTTTGTATTATATTTATGCACAAGTCCGATTTCCCACATGAGCTGTCTTCATCACCAATGTATCTCCTGTCTAGCACGATGGCAGGCACACAGTAGCCATTTTGTAAATGTTAGGCGAGTCACTCAACTCCATTCATTCATTCAGTAAATACACCTTGAGGACTCCATGCCAGGCCCTGTTTTAGGTGCTAAGGATACAACAGTGAACAAAACAGCCAAAATCTAGCTCTCATGGGGGAAGAGAGCTTACATTCTAGTGGAGGAAGAGACAGATAATGGACAACAGAAAAAACATGTAAGATGTTAGGGAGGAGAGACATAGAGAAAGCGAAAGTGCGGTAAGGAGGAAGAAAGTATTGAGGGAGCGGGGAGGAGTGTTGCTATTTTATGTAGGGTGGACAGGGCAGGTCTCTGATAAAGCTGCTGAAGAATCATGAATGAAGTGTAGAGGGCGAGTCACCCAGATGTCTGGGAGAAGATGTTACTAAGGCAGAATGAGCAACAAATGAAGAGCTCTGAGGTATGGGTGGGGTAGGGGCGATGGAGGAGAAACAGCCTTGAGGCCAGGGTGGCTCACAAGAGGTGAATGGGGACAAAGGATGGCGGCACAATCAGGAACAAGGAGGGAGTGATAGAGATGGCATGCGGAGGGTGGCCTCCGCAATGGCAGGGGGCTCAAAGGACAGATCATGCAGGGCCTTATAGAGCATTGTGGAGCATTTTGTTTTTACTTTGAATGAAATAGGAAGATCTTGAACAGAGGAGTGATGTGATACCTTGAGAATAGACTTGGGGTGTGGGCGGGGTGGGGAGTGGAAGTGGAAAGATTGATTAGGTCCCTCTGAATGAATTAGTGAATGAATGAATGAATGAAAGCCAATTAGGAAGCAGACAAAAAATTCATTCTTGTGTGATTCCCAGTGGTTTCCACTCAGGTATATACATTATCTCCACATTCCTGACTACTCTTTTTTTTTTTTTTGAGACAGAGTCTTGCTCTGTCAGAGTGCAGTGGTGTCATCATAGCTCACTGAAATCTCAAACTCCTAGGCTCAAGTGATCCTCCTGCCTCAGCCTCCTCAGCTGGAACTACATGCATGCGCCACCACACATGGCTAATTTTTTTCTATTTTTGGTAGAGATAGGGTCTCACTCTTGCTCAGGCGGGTCTCAACCTCCTGACCTCAAGTGATCCTCTGGTCTTGGCCTCCCAGAGTGCTAGGATTACAGGTGTGAGCCACCGTGCCCGGTCCTACTTTCATTTTTTAAAAGCGTTTTTCTGCCTGCTTTTCTCAATTCCGGCCAGTCTGAATTTTCTAAGGTATAGATTGGCCAATGATAAGTAGTTCTAACAACTGGAATGACAGAAAGTTATGCCAATTCTTTGTCCCAAGAAGATTCTACA